GTGTTGTTTTTTTTTTTTAGATAAGGTAGTACTTCAGGTATGTAATTCAGGCTGGGCTTAAACCCACTCTATAGCCCAGGCTGGCCTCAAACTCATGGTAATACTCCTGCCTCAGCCTCCAGAGTGCTGGGATTTCAGCCCTACGTTGCCACTCCCAGCTTAAAAATTATATATATATATATATATATATATATATTTTTTTTTTTTTTTTTTTTGGTACCAGGGATCAAACTTGGGTCCTTGTGCTTGCGCAGCAGGCAGTGAAACCACTGAGCTAAATCTCCGGCCCAAAAATACTATATATTTTCAAGAAAGAATTTGCCACACTGTTTTCCAAAGTGGTTCTACAATTTATATTTCATTGAAGAAGTCTGGCACATTTAAAAAAAAATTAGTCTATACTTAAGGTATACAATGTTTTCATATACATATGTTGTAAAATGAATACTATAGGTAAGTAAATTAACATACCTATTACTTCCATACTTACTCTTTTTTGTATGGTAGGTACATCGAAAATATACTAAGTAAATTTTCAGAACACAATACATTTTTTACCCAACAAATAAACTGAGTGAGAAATCAATTTTAGGTTCAGATCACACCTCCCTGGGGCCTCCAGCAATGGAGGGTGCAGAGCCTGACTTGTGTTTACTGATATTTTATTCAGTGGGAAGGATTTTTTTTTTCTTACCTTCAAATTGGTAAAGTACATTTCTAGAGTAAAAATAGAACATGAGTTTGTAAGGCACAGTTTAATTCCTCCTGACTCAGCCTGAGGTTTTCATGATTTTCTTATTTTAACACCTTCCACTGAAACTGCTGTCACTTGCTTCCGATATTCCAGCGATAAAGCCCCACCCACATCCCAGAGATCACATCCCAAATCCACCACACATCCTTGCAGGCCACCACTGTCACCATCCCATCACAGTTTCTGCCTCAGGATGACAAAGGTCTAGTGAGCCTCACTCACCTCCTCCAGGTCACACATAATGCTGGGAGAGTTAAAACTTAATTTTTTTTTTTTTTGCCCCACTGGACCCACCTGAAACTTACTTCTTTGCATTTCTTGTTGTTGTTGTTGTTATTATTATTATTTTATTATTATTATTTTGAGACAGGGTCTTCTAAGCCCAGGCTGCCCTTGAACTCTGGATCTTCCAGCCTTAGCCTCCTGAGCAGCTGAGATTATCAGTGTGTACCACCAGGCCTAGGACTTCTTTGTATTTCCAACAAATGTTTCTTATTTCTTATTTTGGTCTACTTGCCATCTTCCTGACTGCTCTTTCGGTTTCCCAGGACCCTGGCACAAGAGAGGGGCCCTGACACCCATCTAGTCACAGGAGAGGACACATACACGCAAGCTTAGCAGCATGCTTGGCTGAACAACAGTCTGTATTGACTTTGGCTAGTGTGAGTCAGGACCTAGTGGGTGTCCTGTAAACACACTTTTCTAGAAGCAGCTCCTCTCCAAGCAGTGGCTACAATGGGAGCTGCTGCATTTCCAGGATGAATTTACTGAACAAGAGCCAAAACCTGACCAAATCAGAGTGAATCTGCATCTTTCCTCAGGAATCTGAACATGACTGACAGAAGGCATAGTGTCTCTTTTCAGGAGGCAGCTTGGCTTGTACAAATGGCAGCAGAGACTGATGCCTTGAGCAGCAGGGGCAGGGTCACAGAGCCAAGCAGGGCAAGAGAAGGAAGGGGCTGTGTGTGTGGCTGTGGTAGAGCTCATGCTTAGCATACACAAGGCTCTCAGTTTGATCCCAAGCACTAAAATAACAACAACAATAATAATAAAGAAGGAACAAAGGAAGATTCATTCTCTGGGCCTAACAATAATAATGAAGAAGGAAGGTTTAAGCCCCACCCCAGCTCGATATCAAGGCTTCTTCCCAGAACTCTAGTACACCACCGCTAGGAGGGTACCTATGAAGGACCCAGGGTCCTCCCCAAATATTTCTCTCTTTGGACATAAAGCGCCAGAGTGGCTCTGCAGCATGGCTCCAAGAGAACCGCTTGATGTGTCCTGAGGGAAATGCCTGATGGGCCCATGCCCCACCCCTGAGCTGAGGCCAGCCAGGGACCCCTGACCTTGAGAGACCACGGGCCCCACTCCTTGGGAGGATACTGACACCCAGCTGCAGTGTACTTGGGCCTCAGAGCAAAGAAAGCCAGGGACAAACAAAAAGCCACTCACTGACCAGACTGCATCCTGGGAGGGCCTGACCACTACTAGGCAGACAGGAAAAATGATATAGAGATCAGAGAAGTGTCTGCTGGCTTCAAAAGGCCACAGCTGATGAGGTTCTCTGGGATTCATCACTTCACTCTCCCAGGCTAACTCAGTCAGCAAGTTCACATGGTAACAAGCAGAGGGAAGACAGGAAGCCAAGCCATGGATATCAGCATCTCTCCAGGAGGGTCAGCTTATACTTTTCTGGCCCCCATCACTTGGTACACATAGTGCCCACATGGTGGGAAGCAAATGTCTGAGTGAGGTCATCCTCAGCCTGTCTCTCAGGCCCTGATAGGTGGTCTAACCCTGGCAGAAATCACAGTGCTGGGGTGGGAAGGAAAGAAGGGGACCTAAGTGACTGGGAAAACCTCCCAGGGAGAATCCCACATGGGGGCCCTTGTGCCAGGGTATGGTAGCACACATGTGACACAGTCAGGTTGCTATGACAACAGAAGTCAGCAGAGGAACTCCCCCAAATTAGCGCTGTTTATTTTGGGTAATTTTAAGGTTTTCTTTGCTTTCTGAAAGATGAACGCACCCAATATTCATTGCAGCCTGTGGATCATAATGAGTCTCAGAAATAACCTATGTGATGGCTGGGCATAGTGGTATAATCCCAGCACTCAGGAGGCTGAGGCAGAGGATCGCAGCAAGTTTGAGGCCAGCCTGGGCTACATAGTGAGTTCAAGGCCATCCTGAATTATATAGCAAGACCCTGTATCAAAAAACAAAACAAAACAAAACAAAAAAGAAAGAATGAACCTATGTGGCTCACAATATGGTAGAGGTAAATAATATGGGATTCATTTGCTTGCTCATTCAATAGATATGGCATACATTTTCTTTCTTTTTTGGTATCAAGGCTTGAACCCAGGGCTTTTGCTCCCCAGCCTTTTTTGAAAATATTTTCATTTTCAGACAGGGTCTAAGTCACAAAATTGCCCAGGCTGGATTTGAATGTGTGATTCTCCTGCCTCAGCCTCCTAGAGTGCTGATTATAGGTATGTGCCACCACACCCAGCAATCTAGCAACTATTTTTTTTAATGTTTGGGGCTTTTCCTCAAGAACTTCACAAGGACCTATTTGCTGGCCTCACTGGTGGCTGTGACAGCACTGTGTTGTTCTGGCCTCCATAACCTTTGAGGAGCAGACAGAGCCATGTGGGGCAATTGAGTTCCCTCTGTCAGGTAGGATCCTGGGCCTCCCCCTCATTCCCCTGCAACTGTAAAAGCCAAAGGTCATAGGGGCTGCAGGATCCTTTCAGGGAATGAGGGTTGTTATGGTTTATATTTAGATGTCCCCTCAAAGCCTCATGCACTTACAGGTGGTTTAGGAGGTGACTAGATCATGGGGCTGTGACATTCATCAGTGGATGTGTCTACTGAGTTTATAGCTAAAGGTGATTTGGGAGATGAAGCATGGTTGGAGGAGATGGGTCACTGGAGGCGTGGCCTGGAAGGGTGTATGTCCCTCCCTCCTCCCTTGATTCCTCCTTTTCTGCTTCCTGACTGCTATGCCATAAGCAATCTTCCTCTGCCATGCTGCCCTACCTTGGAGCCAGCTGACTATGGACTGAAACCTTTACAAACGGAACCAAAATAAACCTTTCTTCCTTTAACTTGTGGGTGTTGAGTATTGTGTCTCAGTAACAAGAAAGCAACTAAGACCAGGGTCATCTGGGCAGTAGTAGGGCCCGAGGCCAGCTCTGAGCAGAAGCACTGAGTGGCACAGGGAACTGACCAAGAGCAAACAGAATTTTCCGGGGTGAGGTAGCTACTTGAAGACCCAGCTATCTGCCCTGCAAAAGTGAGTCTTGTCCCTCACCAAGGGACTGAGGGCACCTCTTCCTTGTGTGGCTCCTCTGAGCTACCCAGCTAGGTCCCAAACTGGGGTCAAGGCTGCTAACTCATGTTTCTTTGAGTGGTTTATGTGACAGTTAGCTTCCCCAAACCAAATTATGGTTTGTGTCTAGATGTCCCCTCAAAGCCTCATATGGTCATAGGTGGGGGGTTTTCAGAGGTGGCTGGATCTAGTGTGTGATTGATTCATGGTGCAATGATGGGATTAAGGGTGTGATTACTAAATCAGTCCACTGATTGGTTTGGTAATCCTGGTTGTTTGGATACAATATAAGGGACAGAAAGAGGCTTGTCTTGTCCCTTGCTTGCTTGTTTTGCTACCTTCTGCCCACCACGAATTGCTTCTCCTCTGCAATGTCTGTCTGCCATGCCACACTGCCTTGGAGCAGGCTGATTACGGACCGAAACCTCTACAAACTGTGAGATACATAAACCTTTCCTCCTTTAACTTTGGGTGTGGGTATTTTGTCTCAGTAACAAGAGAAAAGTAACTAAGACACCACACTTGGCTTTCTGGCTCATCCCACGGATGCATGGCTCATATAGGGCCTCACCCAGGCCTGCACCCCATTCTTACAGGGCCCTATTCCCTGGAGAGGGTTAACACAAACAGTATCATCCACTCCATTACCCTCTGTGCTGGAGAACCAGGGTGGTCCTGTCCTGGCCACTAAGGGAAGCTAGAAAGAAATGCTACTGTGAGGTTTAAGGATGAAGGCAGGTAGCCAGGTACTAGGGACTGAGCCCTGCGGGCTCTTTGGGGCCTCATCAGCCTGCATGCTGGGGCCAGCTTCAGGAAGGCACAGTGCCTGGTTAGAAGACACCCACAGGCTCTCCCACCCACACTGAGGCCTGGGCACTCTGGATACAATCCTAGATGTGGTCCACAGACAGGTTACGGGTGAAGCTTCTTTATTCAAGATCCTCTGAGTTACTTACTTTGTTGCTGAGACAAAATACCCGACACCCAAAGTTAAAGGAGAAAAGAGTTATTTCAGCTCACACTTTGTAGAAGTTTTAGTCTATAGTTGGCTGGCTCCAAGGCAGGGTGGCATGGCAGAGAGACCTCACAGAGGAGAAACAGTCCATGCCAAAGCAGGGCAGGAAGAAGGCAGCAAAGCAGTAAAGTAGAGAGCAGAAGCAACAGCAGCAAATTTTCTTTCTGTCCCTTATATTCCATCCAGGCTACCTGCCCTTTGGGCAGGTAGTATTCACACCCAAGATGGGACACCCTCAATCCCAGCATCACACATTCTAGATCCAGTACCTCTGAAAAGCCCCACCTATATGGCTTTGGGGAGACATCTAGATACAAGTCATAATAACCCCTCAGAGGCCACACTTGTATGCTTCTGGGAGGCGGGCCAAAAGTGACAACAAGTGTGCTGCAGACATGTGGTGGGAGGGAACCTCAGCTACCACAGTGATGGCAGCAAGGTGGCCACAGAGCCAAACGTGTAATGCTTTCTCCTGCTTTGCAAGATAGGATCTGTGCAATGAAGCTCCAGGGAAGCCACCTCAGCAGCTGTAAGTTCAATACTGTGTTTGCCAAATAGGGCAGGAGTAGAACTATATCAGACACTAGATTTTGTCTCCTGCTCAGGAAAAGAAGCCTGAATGCAGTGGGGGTTTAGAGTACCAACAAGCTGGGAACTCAGAGAAAAGAAGGGTCCACCTGGCTAAGGGGGCTTGAGGGATAAATGCTCCCCTTCCACCAGGGTGGCCATGGGGCCACACCACTCTCCAATCAGGAGTCCTGGGGTTGGATTATGAAGCTCTGCTGCTTGCCCTACACCTTTCATGTGCAAAGGGGCCTGGAAAGGAGGAGAAAGGGCATAGGAATAGCCAGGCTTAGGAGAGATGAAAACACACATGGAAGAAGCACAGCCCCACCTCTAAATGTTAGGGTTACAATGATTCTTTTTAATCCTCTTCCTTTTCTTTGTAAAAAGTTTGCACCTGGGCATGGTGTTGCATGCCTATAATACCAGCACTGTGGGAGCTGAAGCAGGAGGATCTTCAAATTCAAGGCTACATGGGCAACTTAACCAGATCCTGTCTCAAAACAAAAAAAATAAAAAAGGGTTAGGAACACAGCTCAGTATGAAGGCCCTGCATTCAATCCCCAGTCCTACAATAAAACAAAACAAATTTTAAAATGCGAAATCCAATGCCTAAGCATTTTTATAGTAAAAAAATTATCTTTTAAGAAAATGTATTTTCCAGGCCAGAGATGTAGATCAGTGACACCACACCTGCCTCACAAGTGCAAGGTCCTGAGTTCAATCCCAGGTACCAAAAAAAAAAAAGTATTTTGTGGCAAAATTCTAGAATCTGTAGTCACACATCTGTTTGGCAGGTTGAAGACTGGACTTACTGCTTGGTCACTGCTGCCAGAAAAATGGGGTGGCCAGGAAGCAGTATGCAAACAGCATGATCCCCAGAGAAAGGACTAGATTGCTGGGATCACCAGATTCGTTGCTCTTGGCTTGACTAGGGACCCTTAGGGTATAGGATGGAGGGATTAGAGGCAGTTCTCCAAAAGTATTCCCTGACTCTGGATACAATATTTAATATAAAAAGTTGTATCCCAGTTAGGCATGATGGCACACACCAATAACCTCAGCACTGGGGAGGCTGAGGCAGAAGGATCACTGGATTTGAAGTCAACCTGGGCTACATAGTAAGTTCAAGGACAGCCTGAAATACATAGTGAGACCCTGTCAAAAAACAAATCAGTGGGTGTGTGGCACACACCTGTAATCTCAGCACTCAGGGGGCTGAGGCAAGAGGATCACTATGAGTTCCAGGCTAGCCTGGGCTACCTAGTGAGTGCAAGGCTAGCCTGGACTACATAACAAGACTCTGTCTCAAAAACTTAAAACAAATCAGCCAGCCATGGTGGGGCATACCTGTAATCCCAGCACTCAGGAGGCTGAGGCAGGAGGATCACCATGAGTTTGAGGCCAGGCTGAACTACAGTGAATGTAAGACCAGCCCGAATTACAAAGCAAGAACCTGTCTCAAAAACTAAACAAAACAAAACACCAAATCAAAACAAAAAGTTGTATCCCTCTAACACCTGCCAGAAACTTGGGGAGTGACCAAGGTCATTAGGGAAGACCCAGAAACATTATGCCAGCCTCCTGCATAGGTGGGGTGGGGTGTGGGCCTATTGGATACAGGGACCTAGCAGAGCACCCAAGGACGCAGGTGACCCCAAGAAGTGGGTGAAGAGCCTCACCTAGAGCTTAGCAGAGGTGGATTCCAAATTCACCCGTTTCTTGATATTATTTGGGGATGTCAGCCAGCATCCACCATCCACCACCAGCATGATCCCAGTCACGTAGGAAGCCAGAGGGCTAGCCAGGTACAGCGTACTGTGGGCAATCTCCGTCTTGTTCCCCATCCTCTGCAGGGGGCTATTAGGGAGCTCTTTGCTCAGGCTGGCCTGGGGGCCACCTAGAGGGCAGCAGGAGGCTCAGGCCTTAGAGAACCCCATGAACCCAGGGCTCTCTACCCTCTCTAGCCAGTTCTTCCCCTGAACCATAAGGCAAAATGGAGCAGGAAAAACAAAAAAAGAAGTTGACCAGGAACAGGACACAGAATGGCTTTTCAATCCAGGCCAGGGTTCTGGAAGCTTCAATGGATGGCCTGTGCCCTGGGCTTGGAGATACACAGGATGCCTGGGTTCCCAGACAGGCTTACCCAGTCGGCGGAGCCCCTCTGTGCCACTGATGGGGCCAGGGGCAAGGCTGTTGACACGAATATTCTGAGGACCCCACTCCACAGCTAAGTGTCGTGTCATTGCATCTGCATGGAAGGAGGGGAGATATACAAAGCCACTTTGCCTCGAGTGGCTGGGGCGGGGGTGGGGTGGGGGGTAGGTGAGGGGTGACTCAGGGCCAAGGCCATGCCTCTCTGCTGCCCACAAGTGGACTCAGGCTCACGTGAAACCTGCCAGCCTCCAAATCAGTCAGCAGAGGGAGCCACTGGGAACCCACATGGGCAGACCAAAGGACTCATACCCACAGCTGCTTTGGCAGAGCCTGCGTGCACCTGCAGCGCCTGCCCCCGGAAACCCAAGGTTGCAGTGATGTTCACAATCACTCCTCCATGGTTCTGCAACACACAAAAGGAGGGGGTAGTGAGGGGGCAGACAGAGGCAGAAAGCCCATGACCCAGAGGTCACTCACCTGGAAGAACTTTTCATAGAGCACACGAGTCACATTGAAGGTGCCAATGGTGTCAATTTCAACTACAGTCTTGAAGGCATTGAATGACAATGCACTGGCAGGGCACAGGAAGTTCCCAGCCGCACCTACAGAGTAGAAGATGACAGAAGGTAGTCAGTTCTGGGATGGTGGGATGGTGGAGAGGCAGAGGCCCTGATGGGAGGATCCACAAGAGTCAATGCCCTGTGGGCAGTGAGAATGTAGGGACCCTATGCTGGTCCAAACTGGACAGGGTAGGAGACCAGGCACTTGGATAAACTCCTGATGACAGAATAAGACAAGATGTTATGTTATCTTTCAAAAAGAGGTTGAGGACCAGGGATTTAGCTCAGTGGTTCTGCTGCCTGCCTCACAAGTGCAAGGTCCTGAGTTCAATCCCCAGTACCAAAAAAAAAAAAAAAAGGTTGAAGTTCTAACCTTCAGTACTTATGAATGTATCCTAATTAGAAAATAGGGTCTTCTTTGAGACAGGGTCTTGCTATGTAATTCAGGTTGGCTAGTCTTGAACTCTGTATGTACCCTAGCCTGGCCTCAAACTCATGCCAATCCTCCTGACTCAGCCTCCTGAGTGCTGGGATTACAGGCATGTACCGCCATACCTGGCCCTTCTTTGTTGTTTGAGACACAGTCTTGATATGTAGCCCAGGCTAGACTCAAACTACATGCAGCTCAGGCTGACCTTGAACCCTCAATCCTCCTGCCTCAGCTTCCTAAGTGCTGGAATTATAGCTATGAGTTACCATGCCTTCCTGAAAATGGGTCTTTGGAGATGTTACCAAGTTAAGATGAAGCAATAATGAATTAGGTTGGTTCTCAATACCATGATTGTGCCTTTTTTTTTTTTTGGTACTGAGGATTGAACTCAGGACCTTGTGCTGAGCCATACTCCAGCTCTATTATTTTTCTTTTGGTATTGGAGATTAAACCAAAGGACATTTGCTACATCTCCAGTCCTCTTTTTATTTTTATTTTGGCTAAGTTGCCCAAGCTGGGCTGAAACTTGGACTCTTCCTGCCTCAGGCTCCCAGTGCTGGAATTACAGGCATGCACCACCACATCCAGCTAAAGTGAGAATTTGACAACACAAGGGCACTCAGTCATGTTCATGAGGATCCACTTGAGCATCGGGAAAGAGCAGAGATGGCCCCAAGACAGACACTGGGAGCCTGGCTCCTGCCTGGGCCACAGCCCAGCTGACACAGGCACCTCAGCTCTCTGGCACTGTCCCTGCCCCAAGAACAGAGCTCTGGGGCCTCCAACCATCTGGTCTTGCTCAACACCAACTCACAGTTAATGAGGATATCAATTTTGCCAAATTCCTTCAGTGCCTGGTCCACAGCAGCCATGATGGCTGGGGGAGCTCGGACGTCCATGGACATAGGGAGGCAGCGCTGGCCAGTGGCAGCAGCCAGCTTCTTGGCAGCCTGGAAGCCAGACAGGAAGAGAAGTGAGCAGCAACCCAGCAACCTGGACCTGCACCACTGACCTTCAGAAGTCAATAAGGACAATGTGTCCAGGTTCCACTGGCATCTGGGTTTGCCGCTGGAGAAGTTACACCCAACACATGGCTACTCCCTGGGCCATGACCCCTACTGGACATTTGTAAGATGTTCTACACTCTCCACTACAGGCCACCTGTCCCAGACTTCTCCCTCTTTATCACCCTACTAGACCATCTTGTCAGGTCAAAGGTAGCCTCAGCTAACATCCAGTCCCTTCCAGGTCAAAGAGCAAGGCTGACAACATTTGACTTTCATAACCCTGAGTTTGGTGGGGGCTATATTATCCCCCAACATAAGGGTCCTCTCAGGACCCAATAATCAGACATTTTTTTCTGTTCTTGGGATCAAACCCAGGAGCACTCTACATCCCCAGCCCTTTTAATTTTTTTTTTTTTTTGTACCAGGGATTGAACTTGGGACCTTGTGCTTGCAAGGCAGGCAGTGGAACCACTGAGCTAAATCCCCAGCCCTTAATTTTTATTTTGACACACTGTTTTGCTAAGTTGCCCAGGCTGCCCTCAAACTTGCAATCTTCCTACCTCACCCTTCTGGGTAGCTGAAATTACAGGTGTGTGCCACTATGCTAGCCCAATAATCTGACTTTTAAGAACCCAAGGGTGGGGGACTGGGAATTTAGCTTAGTGGTTCCGCTGCCTGCCTCGCAAGTGCAAGGACCTGAGTTCAATCCCTGGTACCAAAAAAAAAAAAAAAAAGAAGAAGCCAAGGGTGTCCACTGAGGCTCCATATTTGAGAGGGGAGAGCAAGTTTTGGTGTTACCATGCCCTGGGCCTCAGGACACTTCCAGCTCAGAATTAGGTCCCCCACAGCTGCCTGTTCTGGGCCTCTCACCATCAACACTCTTGGCAGACTCCTGCTGACGATGACCGTTTGGCAGCCATGCCTGCAAAACGAGATGGCAGGGCTGAGAACAGCAGGTTCGAGGTGGGCTCCTCCCAGGTGCTCCAAGCAGAGCTCCCCGCAAGGGTGCCTTCTGTAGGGATATATGTCAAGGGCTGAAGTATGGTTGGAGAAGGCACAGGGGCCCAAGCAGGGCTGAACAGACTGAGGAACCTCAGGTGAGTACTATGGTTGCTCACTCCTCAGTTTCTGGACTGGGCCTCTCTGGCAGGGGGTATCCCAGAAACATAAGGAGGAAGACCTGCCCCCAAACACCGTATACATGGCAGAGAGGCCACAGGGATCCAGACATCTGTTTGGGGCCTGCTGGATCCCCTGGCGCAGATTTGCATGCCCCAGTCCCCCTCCCTGGGGAACCATGAAAGAGGGAGCCCATTCTGAGGCAGGCTGTTTCCCTGCCCACCTGGCAAACTCAGCCCCACAATGACAACAGTGGGGCAAATAGCTGCAGGCAGGCCACATTCACAGGAGCTACTATGTCCAATCTAATCCTCAAAAGGGGTCCTGACACTAGAATGAGTATACTCTGGTGAGAAGCAATATGCCATCAGCTCCAAAAATGAGTCTACCTGGAACCATGAGTCCCAAAGCATGTTCCTGTTGGACTCAAACTGAAAACTAAGGGCTTGGGGAAAGAAGCAGGGCCCTTCTTCCCCCACCTCATCCTAACTCTGTGCCTCTGCTGGGTGGGATGGTTTTTGACACATGCCTGAGGCCACAGAATTTGTGTCCCAAGAGATTTTGGGTCCCATACAGCACAAGGGTCTATTGACCCACTCTGTGAGGCCCCAGGAGATCCTAAGGCAGAACCACAGTCTCACAGACTTCTAGAAGTCCAGAGTTCCGTCTTCCCACAGGGTACAGGTAAGGGGAAGCCGAAGTAGAGAGGGCCCTGGAACAGTGCTCACCGCATGAAAATCTCAGTGATCCGGAACCCGATCCCAGAGCCACCACCAGTGATAAAGGCCACTTTGCCCCTGGTCCAAAAAAAAAGAGGCTCTTTTAAAAGGTCACTGTTGCCGGGAATTTAGCTCAATGGCACCGCACCTGCCTTGCAAGCATAAGGTCCTGAGTTCGATCCCCTAAATGAAAAACATAAAAGGTCACTGTTGCAGGGCATGGTGTCATACCCCTGTAATCTCAGCATTTTGGAGGCTGAGGCAAGAGTATTGCTGCAAGTTCAAGGCCAGTGTGGACTACACAGTGAGTTTAAAACCAGTCTAAACTACATAGTGAAACCCTGTCTCAAAATAAATAAATAAAATAATGAAGTAAATAAAATAAATAAATATATAAATTAAAGGTCACTGATAACTGAAAGGGGGAAGTAGTGTAGCTGAGGTGGAGGGATCCACCCTGGGCAGTGCATTATTGGCCAAAAGGAAAACTATATTGCAACAATTTACTCCATTTTAACAGAGCAACGATTTGAGTATGTTGAAATATGAGTGTTTTTCTCTACTCCTCATTTTAATTCTTTTTTTTTTTTTTGAGACAAAGTCTTGCTATGTAGTTTAGGCTGATCTTGAACTCACTATGTAGTCTAGGCCGGCCTCAAACTTGCAGTGATCCTCCTGCCTCATCCTCCTAAATGCTAGGATTACAGGCGTGCACCAAAATGCCTGGCTTAATTTTCTCTTTAAATAGGTTAACATATTCAGATATGTTAGAGGGTGGCAAATTGAAGGACTGGCCTAAGCGACAGGTTGGGGAGGTGGGGGGTTGGGGAGAGGCGGAGGACTTTGACTCCTTGAGCTGGGCCTTCAATCCAGTATGATTTTGTAAGAAAATACGTCTTTTTAAAAAGCCTATCATTCCTAAGCTTTCTAGGTCTTCAGGAAAAACGATTTTAACCTAAAATTCTCTACTCTGAAAGTTGAGTTTTCAAAAAACCTACAACTTCCTCCCACACTCCCGCTCCTTTCCCTGGCAGGATCTCTAGGCTCGCAAGTCAGAAGCAGGCTTCGCCATGAGGATTCCAAGACCCCATCGGGACTGCCTGTCTCGCGCATCCGGCAGCCCACCGCTCCCTGCCCCGCGTCCCGCTCTGGTGCCCCGCGCCCGGATTCCCGCTGCTCCGGACAGCCCCGCCAGAAGCTCACTGGAGCAAGCCTGGGCAGAAGAGGTGGCGGTAATCAGGGAGACAGTCGTCCTCTTCAACGTCGGGCGGCTGCTCCATGGTGCTCGAAGCGGGGAGGGGCGGCGGAATTCTCTTGGGTCTGAGAGCCACCAGGGACGCTGCCACAGCAAGAAGCAAGCGGAATCAGCAGGGCGCGTGGGACTGTGTATCACTGAGGGAGTCCCGCCCCGAGGCCCCGCCCCTCCCACACAGACTCCTTCCCTACCACGCCTTTCCAGGAATCTTGCCTGATGCCCCGCCCACCACGGCGCACGGCCTCCTGGGACTGGAAGTGGGCGGGGATGTACGTAGCAGCGCCGGCACAACGAAGCCCAAGGGTCGTACGGTGGTGGCGGGGGGTCAAGGGTTCAGGGATGTTCTTGCGAGTAGTCCTTTTCGCGCCCTGGGGGCCACGCTAAGTGGTTGAAGCTGGCTGCACCCTACGGACACGTTCAGTCCTGCACTAAGGCTTGGCTTGCGATGCAGAAGGCCCTACCTCCTGGACATGCTTCCAGGTGGGCAAAAATGAGCACAAAGGGGAGATTATTGCCAAGAAAACGCTCCTTCACCCTGCCAGCGCGGGGTCCAGGTCGTAAAGTGACCGGCACATTAGTTCTGTCCTATCTGCCATAGCTACTCGGGTGGAGAACCCAGGACCTGGACATCTGTCATCATGATGTCAAAAGCTGATGGCCAAATCAGCCTCATAGTCTGTCTGCTACCCGGGCCACAAAGATGTGACTTGAGGACCCAAGGATGAAGTGTGACCCTCGTGACAACATGAAGATAAATGGATGCCAGGCAGCCCTCTTCAGTACACATCAGGCCATGAAGATGAGAGGACCATATTCAGGCTCACTGTGCCTTAACAGTGAGCTTAACCCCTAACTGTCCCTTCTTGTCACCCTCCTTCAGCAAGACCTGATAGGTGGGGACTAGGATAGCACCAATCAGGAGCTCAGCTCTGATTCCCCCAGATTTCAGGCTGCAGGGCCCTGGACTCCAGCCTAGTTCACACATTCACCAAAGTGAGGGATCCATTCCCTCCTGCATATTCAAGTCTGTGAGCTTTCCTTTAATTGTCTACTACTGGGGCTGGGGATTTAGCTCAGTGGTTCTGCCACCTGCCTTGTGAGTTCAATCCCCAGTACCCCCCCAAAAAAAGATTCTCTAAATGTCTACTTCTTGCATAAAACCATCACTGCTGTCTCAGAGATGGCAGAAATCATGAGCACGCTTCCATTCTAAGCAATGAACTTTAATGTCTCTCCTTTGAGGCAGGGGAGTTTACCTTTGAAGACACCCCAATGGTTGTCTGGCACTTTGGTACAGAAGGATTTAGTCTAATCTTGTGCTAGCTTAGGACTCAGAAAGGCACATAAAGTTGGGGCTCAGACTCCTGAGGGCTGGCATAGGGCAGAAGGTGAACAAGGAAGTGGTTTAGGAGAAACAGGATGGGTGTAGGATTAAGTTCTTGTTGACCGAGGTAGTTGGTCCTTGGTGGACAATGGAGTGCCATGGGTGGCATGAGCCCTCAGGCTGGGTAGCTGCTGCTGTGGTGGCCCCCATCTGCCCAGTTCACCAGCTCACTATTCTGGAACCACAGTTGGATCTCTCTCTGGGCTCCCTCCACAGAGTCGCTGGCATGGACGATGTTCCTGTGCCAGGTAACAGGTGGCAAAGGTGAGGCTCAAGCTTGAGTGTGGACCCAGAGGCTCCCTCTGTCTAGGGGAGCAAGCAGATGATTGTGCAAAGGGGAAAGAATAACAGGAGGTAGAAAACTGTGTTCCAGCCTGGCCTTAGCCTCTTACCCACGACCTCAAGGGCCAGCCCACATCCCAATTTCTAGCAGCTTCCTTTCCCTAGGAGCTGTCCCATGGTAACCCCTCAGGCGCCTGGCAAGACAGGCAAATAAAAGATAATGACAGAATATACACACAACAAGGGAATGTGTCATATCTTTGAAAAGGTTGTGAGAAAGCTGTTCTAGGCAGTTGTGACATCCAATATCCAGTCCCTTCTGGCTTCACCTTTAGCCAAGCAAGATACCTAAATCAGCCAGGGATTTAGCTCAGTGGTTTCGCGGCCTGCTGAGCAAGAGCAAGGACCCGAGTTCAATCCCCGGTACAAAAAAAACCACAAAAAAACCAAAGATACCTAAATCATGTGACTGTGTCTTAGGAGTAAGCTGCCACCCCAAACACTGGCCCTGTGTGATTGTGTCAGGGCCCCCTATACCTGCTGATGTGGATGCTGAAGTCTCCCCGGATGGTCCCAGGGGCAGCCTCAGTGGAATCAGTGTGTCCTATCATTGCTCTTGAGGCACGGACCACATTGTATCCCTCCCAGACCTGCAGCACAGAGCAAATATTGGGGAGAAGAGGGGGAACACCAGGAGCCCTTGGGCTCAATCCAGGCCCTTCCCCTTTGCTTGGAGAACACACCCACACTCTCCCCACTGCCTGCTACCAAACTGTACCATGGCCACCACAGGCCCAGAGCTCATATAGCTGATGAGGGCTGGGTAGAAGGGCTTCCTCTGTAGGTCCTGGTAGTGCTCAGCAAGGATGTTCTCAGGTGCCTGAGTAGCATTGGGGGAGAAGAGAAGTCCCTGGAGATGAATTCCCCACTGGTCCCGACCTCAGGGTACCCTGCAGATAGCACCCACATGGACTGGCACCTCCACCACAGAACAGATACCTCCCCACCCCTGCAACTGCCATTGCCAGGCTGAGATGTGAAGGGCTGAGAATGAGCCCCAGTCACCTCAGTGAATCACAGGCCCAGGGTTGATACCTGCAGCATCTTCATCCCAACTAGTTTGAAGCCTCGACTCTCAAAGCGCTGGATCACAGTCCCAATGAGCCGCCGCTGGACTCCATCTGGTTTCACTGCCACCAGGGTCCTCTCCTCGGTCCACGTGGGCCCTCCTTTAAAAGAGGAGGGGCTGGAGCTGCCACTGCCTTACTGTGTCGTGCCTCCCTGACTGGCTTCCCCTGAGAGGGTCCAGACATCACCAGGCTTCTGGCTTTGTGCAGGGCAGCTCTGGAAGGAACAAGTCCAGTGCCCACCCCTGGCCCTACTGGTCAAGAACACCCAGGGCAGTGTATCCCCAAGGGCTTCTTTGAGGCAATGGCCAAAGCTGCCCAAGACTGAGCTGTCTTCCCCTGAGAGGGCATCTGAGGGAGCCCAGAGGCCAGAGAGGTCCAGCCCAGCTGTGACCACCAAGGAGGCAGGAAATGCTCCCTGGAAGAAGCTTGACTCTGGTGCACTTCTGATTCCTGTTCTCCAGTGTATAGTGGCCAGCATCTGAGGCTCAGGCCTGCCATGGGAGGACCCCAGAGCCACCCTCTGGGAAAAAGGTGAAGGAATAGTGTGCAAACTTGGGAGAGAGGAAGTGCACTCCCTCCAATTGGGCAGGGCGGGGACACAGGGCAGTGAAGATGTGGAATCCCATCAAGGCTGAGGAGAGAGGTCAGGTGGGAACTCTAATCCCAACCCTGGTCAGCCTTGAGCCCCTCTCCAGGCAACATGGCCCTGAAGAAGGGAGGTGTCTTCACCCTCCTGCAGCCCCGGCCACTCCCAGAGAGGTAAACACTTCATCCTAGGACAAATCCTGCTTTTGTGTGCGGGGAGCAGGCAGATAGGTGCTCACCACGACACACACCCCCCGCCGCCACACACACACACACACACACACACACATACAGA